GAACTGTATTTCAAAAGCTAAGGTAAAAAGAAAGTTCTAGTCCATAAATTTGAAAGTTGCAGATATCACAGCAGATGAGGGTTTGACAATTACAAGTTATCTTGGAGCAGTTTTAGAGAAGTCAGACTGCAGTGAGTTGAAGAGTAAGTGGGAAATGAGGAAGTACAAGCGAAAGGTATAGGATACTTTTCTAGAAGTTTTGCAAAGTAGTGAAAATAATAATGCCTTATACATGAGTAAGGAATTTATGAATATTATTATAAATAATAATATTTATGGTTATGGAGGTTTTGTTTTATTTGGTTGTGTTTTGAATGCCTCAGGTGATTCTGTTTGTTTGTGAAGGATGGTCCATAGAACCTCCCGTCCCAACTCCATCACCTGTTTTCCACAAAGATAGGTAAGCATTCACTTCTCAGACCAATTCAGTGAAGCTTGCAACTAAATATTCTGCTCGCCTAGCTGCTCCTCCACATCGAATCCCTTGGTGGATAGAGCTGGGAGAAGAAAGGAGTTTCTACTCCAAACCTTCTGGGATATGGGGACCCAACTTGCTTTGCAGTGAGCTGAGACTGTCCCTTGCAAGCCCCCATCAGTCCAACCCTTTCTCAGAGGGAGCTGGAGAATAATTAACACCGCCGTCCACCTGTGCACAGGAAGATGCCCACAGCCACACCGATGATGATGAAGCTGCCCACCAAGACGCCCAGGACCAGCGAAGTGTAGGAGCGGCCTGTTTGGCTCCCTGCAGAATACGCAGAGAATTAGCCTGAAGAACGCGCCCACCAAGGAGTCCATGGTTTGAGTCAGAACCCAAGAGATTTCTGCCCTTTTCACCAAGTGTCTTAAGCTGTGCTCTGTCCCAGACTCTCAGCCCTGGGCCTCTGTTGCTCAAGCTGTCCATCCCTTTGCCTAGAATTCGCCACCTCCCCAAAACACAGCTCCATCTCTCCCATCCTACCTTTTAAGTTCTTCGTGGTATTTTCCTGCACATACTGCACACAGGTGTCCTGCAGGAACTCCTGCAGTTCATATCGAGTACGATTGTGGGTGTTGAGCGCCTTCAGGGTGTAGCTGGCCACTTTGGAGGGTGTCTGGGACTGTGACACCCATAAGGCAGTCTCTGGCTGAAAACTGGCAAAGGAGCTTCCGTTCACAGTCACCTCGAAGAAGATGTGGGCTTTGGAGCTCTCAGGAGGCATTTCACAGCCCAGGAAGCAGCGAATTACCAGAGGAACTGTGGATGGTGGGGAGGGTACAGGGTCAGGGGCTGTGTGGAGAGGGTGGGGTCCGAAACACAATGGGGAAGAGAACATGGCAGGGGTTTGTGGAGTGAGGAGAGGAGAGTCTGGGGCAGGGAACTGTAGGGAGAAATGTTTGAAGGCTCTGAGGAGAAAAGAGAGGGAGCCTATAAGGAGGTGTTAAGGACTACCAAGTAAAGGGGAACTTTGAGGTAAAGTTGCTGCAGGGCTATGAAGAGAAAGAGAAAATTGGAGTTTTTGAGGAAAAGGAGTTAGGGGTTGTGAGAGAAGAAATTGGGAGCTACAGCAAAGTACTCAGCTTCTGTGAGGAGAGGTGGATGGAGGGTTGAGGATAAAGTGCTGTTAGGTGTGTGGGTGGAGGGAAGGATGGGTCAGCGAGGGAAAGGGGTAAGAGGACCGTGAGGTGAGGGGCCGTGGAATCTTCAGCTAACTTTTGGGGGTCAAGTTGGCAGGGACTTGGTCTTTCAAGTGCCTCGCGTCCAGGGACTACCCGAGAAGGTTATGCCAGCAGGAAGACTGCCTGACGGAGGGCCTGTTCAGCTACGACGCGGTGCTAGGGCATCTCCTCCTGTCCAGCCTAGAGCTGTCTGTCATCCAGCAGTCAGCAAGCACCAGCGCCCCAGGGCCCAGGTACCTGGGGCTTCCTCAGAGTAGCCCTGCCCCCGCAGGTCACGCCCACAGTGACAGGTCCATCCACAAGACCCACCCCCCAGGTTCCTTCCAGAAGACCCCGCCCCATTTTCTAGCAGGCCCCGCCCCTGAATGGCCCGCCCACAGGCCACGCCTCCCATCAGAAGGGCTGAGCCTTACCAGCCCCGCCCGGGGTTCGCCCCAGGCCCCACTCCAGCGCGCGTACACTCACAGGTCAAGCTCCGCTCCTTATTCACCACCTGCACGAGGCCATGGAAATCTTGCAGGTACCGCTGCAGGCCTCGCTTGGTGTGCGCCCAACTCTCTGGCTCCTCCAACGGCTGCAGCTGGAGGATCGTGACGTTGTGGCCTGGGCCTTCCAACTCGTGCGTCAGGAGCCCATCCAGCGACGCGTTGCCCCGGTACCACACGTGAAAGGGGTCGCGGAAGTAGGCGAACTGGAGCATGTGGAGGCTCCGCGGCCCTGAGGGTAGGAGTCAGGGCGTTGGGACCTCAGCCAGCTGGCATGGGAGCAGGCGGCAGGCAGCTGGAGATAATAACCCCCCGCCCAGAGGCCAGCCGCCCACCCTCTGGGCCCTTCACAAACTACAAAGTGCCCTCCCACTCTTGCTCCCATTTGACGCTTACAGTAACTCTGCCAAGATGGCAAGACAGGGATTATTATCCTCAGTTTACAGACGGGGAAACTGAGGCCCGAAGAGCAGAAGCCACTTGCCCTAGGGTGATACAGCCAGTGGGTGCAGGAGCCTCCCCACCTCCATTTCCGGTTGGTTAACAAACCCTAACCTACTTAAAATCTCTATACTATCTCCTTTTTTTTGTATCTGTTGCTACTAAGGTAGTACAGGTCCCATCTATTCTTTTAACGGGGATATTAACTTTCTCCCTCATCCCACTGCCTTCAGTTTCAGTCCTTCTAATCTGACCTCCATGTGACTTGTATCTTCCTCCTTGAACTCCTCCAGTGTCCCTTCCTCCATCAATAATAATAATAGCTGTTGTTGTTTGCCGTCGAGTCAGCCCCGACTCATAGCGACCCCTCCTTGGGTTTCCGAGGCAGTATCACTACGGAAGTAGGATTGCCCAACCTTCCTTCCCTGAGGAGTGGCTGGTGGGTTTGAACCGCCAGCCTTCTGGTGAGCAGTCAAGTGCTTTAGGCACTATGCTACCAGAGCTCCCAATAATAATAGCTAATATCTATTAAGTGCTTATTATTACCCAGACACTAGTGTTCAAGCCTTTGTATTATTATTATTTGTGCCTTCCTCCCAACAGTTTAATGCAGTGGCTACTATTATTAACTCTAGTCTATATATGGGAAACTGAGTCTAAGATGATAAATAGCAAAGCTAAAGTTTAATGCAGGCAGTCTGAATCTAGCCACTCTGCTTCACTGCTGCACTATACATTAGCTGTCCACAGGTTCAAATCCAAAGGCTCAGCATGACATTCAAGGCTGCTGGTAACTCGGCCCCTGCTGCTTTTTCCCATCTCTTCCCTATCCTTAGATAAAGCAAACTCCTACAGGTTCTCCTGCTGCCCTTTAGCTGATATGTGAATAGCATGTGAGTGTTTCTTTATCTGCCTTTTTTGGCCCTTCAGACATCTACTCATCCTTCAAGACCCAGCTCAATTTTCTTCTTGGAGAAGCGTTCCTAATTCCCCTCCTTTTTGCCCTCCCAGACACAGTGGGTCTGTTTCAGTGATGCTGGACTATTTTGTGTGAGTTAGTGTCTCACTGGATTCTAAGTGACTGTCTCCTTCATCTGTCCCATACACACACACCGGGCTCCTCCAGGTTATGAAACCATATCTGGTTACTCTGCCTCCTGCGCTCGCTAAGGGCCTGGCATGGAGTTGGTTCCCAAAGAATATCTGAGGAGGGAATGAGTCTGGCTTGCAAGTCTGTGTGTGTGAGTGTATCTTGCCCATGTTTGCATTTGAGAACTTGTGCTCTGAACCGGCAGGGGTGTGAATAAGTGTATCTGTGTGGGTAACCCAAACAAGGTTCTTAACTGTTCTGTGAGCCAGTCTCTTCCTCTGTAAAATGCAGATAATATTACCTACCTTGTGAGGGCTTTGTGGGGACTGAATGAGTCAATATGTGGGTTAACCAGAGTGAGCAAGCCCTGAATATTGTTATTATTTGCTCCCTCTCTGAGGAAAAGACTGAAGCTGTAGGAATTGTGGCAGAGGAGAAAGGAGAGCCCTGTGCAATTATAATGTGTACCAATAACTCCCCTTCTCCATTCAGATGAAGTCATGTCAAGCAGCCTGATCCCCCATGAGTTTTTCCATAGCCTACGCCTCTCTGTCCCCCCAGTTTCACCTTCCCAGTTGCACCCAGTCTGTCTTCACTTCCTTGGTCTCCCTTTCTACATTACCTGTATCAGCCCATCTTTCCCCCAAGTCTTCCATCACTTCTTGCGCTGTATCCACATCCCCTCCATCTCTCTTTTCATTTCTGTGTCCTCCCATCTTCCCTAAGCTTACTCATCCCCATCCACCCTCACCTCTCTCTCTCTCTCTCTCCACACTTCATCCGTCTCTCCCCTCTTCCTCATGCTGATTCCCTCTGCTTGTCTCCCCATCCCTTTCCCATTTTCCCACTGGTCCTGTTTTTCCCCAGCCTTATCCATTTCCCCTTTCCCGAGAGCTGAACTGTATCTCCTTACCTTGGCTTTGGGACTATAGGACCTGACTGTCCTATAGAAGACTCAGCCATCTGTGCACAGACTCAGGAGATAAACTCTCCACTCATGGACCCAGGTTGGCTGAGAGTCCCCAGAACCATCCTGAGGGAGGAGATGGCTCCCCACTCACCATCTGAGGCTTTCTGGCTACAAAGGGTCCAGCTGGGCAGGAGCAACAGAGGCAGCAGTGGCAGCAATGTTGTCAACATCCTGGGGCTGAGGATCCTGACCCAACTCGACTCCGGCAGGCTGGGGACTCCAGCTAGCTGCAGCCTAGGGGAAAAAGGAGTAAAGGCTGTCTGGAAGGGGCGGAGGCTAAGCGGAGGATGCTGGAAAGAGGCCAGGGGTGAGGAGGAAGAAGGGCGTCAGGCTTGTGAAATGTTATTCCAACTCTGTCTCATTTCCTACTAGGAGGCCGGGCTCCCTCTGCCCTCCCCTTGCCCCTCCCTGCACCTCACCCTCTCATCCAGACCTGCCTTTTACCTCCTCCCTAGGCTGCCCCTGAGGATCAGGGAACAGAAAAGAGGGAGAAGAGCATGATGTGAGAGGTCCTGCCTGTGTTGAGTCAAGGGGTGGGGCATCTGCTTTCAACTTAGAACAGATCACAAGGTATAGAGATCAGCAGGTTCACGATGGGAAAACTGAGGTCCGCAGAGGTGCAGGGACTTGCCCACAGTTGACACATCATGATGGTGACAGATCCAGGATTAGAATTCTCTTTTCCAGGGTACTGGGTAGAGTTTATCAGAATCTGAAGTGAATGGCAATTACACAACCAGGGATCGTGCAGTCAGAAACAGTCATGAGATGAGTATAAAGCAGCTCTCGGAAGCATTGTTTGTAATAGGTGAGAATTGTGAACAATCTATATAAATCTGGACAGAGAATGGGCTACATAAAGCAATGTTTTACAAACAAGTCACAACCTATCAGTGGGTAATTAATTCAATTTAGCAGGTCATAATTCCCTCCTTTTTTTTTTTTTTTTTAATGAAATAGAACAGAATGGAAAATTTTAGTGTATCATCTTTAGTAGGGAACTCTGAAAGCATAGTGCCTAAGGCACTTGACTGTTAACCAGAAGGCTGGCGGTTTAAACCCACCAGCCACTCCTCAGAAGGAAGGTTGGGCAATCCTACTTCTGTAGTGATACTGCTTCGGAAACCCAAGGAGGGGTCGCTATGAGTCGGGGCCGACTCGATGGTACATAACAACAACAACATCTTTAGTAAGGATAACGATTATTTTATGAAACTTTCTGTTCATGGAAAGTTGTATATATATGTTTTGTGTTTCGGTATGGTCCTTTGTATATGTTTCTTACTCCAAGAAGCAATAGAAAAGTTGGAGACTCACTCCCCAAACTGTGATAAATCCATACTGTGGACTACTACACGGTAGGAAAAATAGTGCCCTCCTCCAACCAATCGCCTACTTTATTTTCATATTACTTAGCACTACCTGAAATTATATTGCTTATTTATGTGTTTCATGTCTGAGTGTCTCGCCATGATGTAAGACCTGTGGGGATTGAGGTTGTCCATTCTGCTTCTGTGCCTAGAACAGTGCTCATCACTTAATGAATATCTGCTCAGTGCGTGACTGAATGAGATAGATATGATGCAAATAGATCTCCAAGGGTGAGTCACAGGACACTATGTACAGTTTAGAACCATTTATGTGTAATGCACATGGACAACAACCTGTTTTATTTTTTTAATTGTATTTTTGGTGAACATTTAGACAGCAAATTATGTTCCCCTTTAACAATTTCTGTACGTGTTGTTCAGTGTCACTGGTTACATTTTTCATGATGTGTCAGCATTCTGTCAATTCCACTTGGGTTGTTCTGTTTTCATTAATCTAGCTTCCCTGCCCCCTACTTTCACCTTCTCATCTTTGCTTTCAGATAAATATTGGTCTCATATAGAGGATTATTTAAAAGGAGCACAGTACTCATAGGGGATATTGTTTATTTTATGAGCCAATCTGTCATTTGGCTGAAAAGTGACCTGCAGGAGTGGGTTCAGTTCAGAATTTAAAGGGCACGTGGTGGCGTAAGTGCCAAAGGCGTTTGACTGCTAACTAGAAGGCTGGCTGTTTAAACCCACCAGCCACTCCTAGGAAGGAAAATTGGGCAATCTACTTCTATAGTGATACTGCCTCTGAAACTGAAGCAGGGGTCGCTATGAGTCAGATCCAACTCGACAGCAGTGAGTTTGGTTTGGTTTTTGGTCAAGGCGATAGTCTCAGGAGATCCCCTGGTTTATATTGGTCCAGTTAAGTCTGACCGTTTAGGAATTTTAGGTTTATTCTAACAACGTCCTTTTTTTTTTTTTAATGGGAGTTAATCAATCTGGAAGGATGCACATCAAACATGGTGTTTTATTTCCAGGGAGGGCACTGGATAAAGGGTGTGTATAAATATATTTGTATGGAAGTGAATGGGGTGGTCTTCTGAAGGGCTTTATTAACTCTGTTTCATGAAGGGTTTTTATCATGATATCTGATCCAGAATATAATCAGATATTTCACGTTTCATTAAAACTAAAATTATAAATAATAAATTATGGTACACCTGCATAGTAGAATATGCTACAAGAGCCTACGTGTTCTATAGAGAGGCCCAGCCAGGTATAGACACAGACTCTGAGTGGCAGATGGTTATGAACTGATGTGCTGACATGGAAGGATGCCTAGGAGACATTGATAAGTGAAAAAAGAAAGTGTGGAACAATATGTATGGTATAATTCCATCTTTTTTTTTTTTAATTTAAAAATTTTACTTCTGTCCACGTTGTTAGTTGCTGTTGAGTCCGTTCTGACTCATAATAACCCTGAGTCCAACAGAATGAAACACTGCCTGGTCCTATACCATCTTCACAGTCGTGGCTGTGCTTGAGCCCAGCACTGCAGCCACTGTGTCATTCCATCTTGTTGAGGGTCTTCCTCTTTTTCACTGACCCTCTGTGGTGGTTATGTTTGTGTGTCAACTTGGCTGGGCCTGGTTGAGTGGCTGGGCAGCTGGTGATAGTTATTCCCCATGATGAGACTGGCAATCAACTCCATGGTGGGATCTACCACAAGCAGCTGAGTAGCTGCTGCCTTTGGGATGTGGTCTCCTTCCCGTATATAAGCAGCAGCTTTGGAAATGGTCTCTAGCCTATGGCACACTTGGACCCTGCATGTAGCCGTGTCGTTGATCAGCAGCCTGCCATGCTCTGCCGACCTTGGGACTTACAATGGACTTAAATTAATGGCCTGCCATGTGGTTTGGTAACATCAGGACTGTGCCATTTTATTTGTCAGCCTTGGGCTTCTCAGTAGCCAGCAGCCAGTAGCCAGCAGCTGTCTGAGTGAAAAAAACGCCTTTAGCATCAGTGGGCCGCGAGGTGGAGGCAGAGCCAAGGTTGAGGGGCTTTCACCCAGCCCCTAGAGCCTGGCACTTTGAACTTGGACTTAAATCCTCCAAATTGTAAGAATAAACTCCTGTTTGTTAAGGCCATCCCATTTGTGGTGTATTCCTGTTAGAGCAGCACTAGGTAACCAGAACATCCTCTTTACCTAGCTCTTTACCTAGCATTATGTCCTTCTGCCTGGTAGCAGAGTGCCTAAAGCACTTGACTGCTAACCAGAAGGCTGGCGGTTCAAACCCACCAGCCACTCCTCGGAAGGAAGATGGGGCAATCTTCTTCTGTAGTGATACTGCCTTGGAAACCCAAGGAGGGGTCGCTATGAGTCGGGTCAGACTCGATGGCACATAACAACAACAACAACATGTCCTTCCCCAGGGACTGGTGCCTTCTGACAACATGACCAAAGTATGAGATGAGCCTGGCCATTCTCACCTCTAAGGAGCTTTCTGGCTGCCCTTCTTCCAAGACAGATTTCTTTGTTCTGGCAGTCCACATTACTTTCAATATTGTAAAAACTGCGAGGAGGCCACATGTTCTGACCTCCTCTAATCTCACAAAAGGAAGACAGGATTACCAGCAGTAACCCAAGGCCTATTATTGCAAGGCCAAACATGCTGCCTCCCTCCAGCCCTTTCACCAACCGTTCTTCCCAAAGCACCACCACCTCTCTTGGGTTCGATAATTCGCTACAGTGGCCACACAGAACTCACAGATTACAGGGTTTATTAGGAAAGCACCAGGCTACAACTCAGGTTCAGGAAGAATGCTCAGTCTCTCTCCCAGCCCACCGTCCCTCAGCCAAGAGTCTCTCACAGTCTCTTTCCCAGCAGTGCTGGTCCCTCGCTGTCTCACCCAGCAATGCGTGTCTCTTGCATCTCTTTCCCAGCAAAGCGTGTCTCAGGAGCCCGTGTCTCTTTCAGTAGCACGTCTTCCTCAACCAGCAGTCAGAGAGAGTTCTGCCTCCAGGAGGCCTCCTTTTTGAGCCCAGCAGGGTGGTCCAACTAGCCAATTATAGCATCAGAACTCTAAGCACCTGAGAGAGTGGGCATCTCCCAGAACATTGTTTTGTGCCACTCCCAACAGAAATACTCCAGGTGGACACCTTCAGCAATCAGGAGCTCCTCAGTTGCTCATGGCAAATCCCACCTTGGAGTTTACAAAGACTTATGGGTAGAAAAGCCACATAAAGTAATTTACCATACCACAAATATTCTTTGCCAACTACAATTCAAATGCATCACTTCTTCTTCAGCCTTCCTTTTTCACTGTCCAGCTTTCACATGAATATGAGGGTATTGAAGATACTATGGCTTGGTCAGGCACACCTTAGTCTTCAAAGTGACATCTTTACTCTTAAACACTTTAAAGAGGTCTTTTGCAGCAGATATGCCCAGTGCAATACGTCGTCGTTTGATTTCTTGACTGCTGCTTCCATGGGCATTGACTATGGATACAAGTTGTCAGTGTAAGATGAAATCCTTGACAACTTTAATCTTTTCTCCATTTATCATGATGTTGCTTATTGGTCCAGTAGTGAGGATTTCTGTTTTTTTTTTGTATTGAGATGTAATCCATACTGAAGGCTGTGGTCTCTGATCTTCATCAGTAAGTGCTTCAAGTCTTCTTCGCTTTCAGTAAGCAAGGTTGTGTCATATCTCATGATCTTGTATCTCAGGTTGTATATGAAATAGTTACTGTCAAGTTGATTCTGATTCACGGCGACCCCTAATGTGTCAGAGTAGAACTGTGCTCCGTGGGGCTTTCAATGGCGAATCTTCCTGAAGTCCTCACCA